GTTCCTCAAGCGCCTGGGGCCTGCCTTCTCAGGGAACGTGTGCCCAGCCTGGCAGGCGCACTCTGCTTCCTGGGAATCACCCAAGCCACGCCTTTTATCGCAGAAGAGTGGAAAATATTCCCTGCTCAGCTGCTGATAGGGTTAGTGTGTGGTTTTCCACCCATTTTTCCTGGATGTGCTCCACAAGAGGGTGTTCCTCTGTCCCCTGTCCCTCCAGTCGTGTCCCCAGGGCTGAAGGTGGCATGTTCCAGGGTGCTGCCTTTTCTCCATGAACAGTAAGACAGTGCAGGTGCTGCTGATCTTTCTGGTTTGAGCCAGTTTTGTTCCCAAACAGTGATGCTCCCAACTCCCTAAACCCCATGCTTTGGGCTATTTCTATTTTCTGAGTGTAAAATGGAGGCAGGGGAGAAGTCCTGGAAGTGAAGCTTGGCGCCCTGTTTCACACCTCCACTGTGGGACAGAGGAAGAGAGTGCGACTCTTGAACTGTGAGGTACCCCAAATGTGTGACATCCTGGCATCCCGTGGCTCCCCTATGAGTTGAAAATCCCTGCAAGTGCTGGGGTGGCCCAGGAAAAGGATCCTGAAAGCATTATCTCCTCTCCTCCAGCTCCCATGCCATATCCACAACCTCCCTCTCATCGACACTCTCATATCCCTAAGAAACCGAGCCAAGCTTTCCCACAGACCCAGACAGCTATTAGGGAAATATTATTACCAGATGGTTTGGTTTTTTCCATAAGAACAGAGGCCAGAGTGAAGTAATAGGGAAAACATTAACCCAGCACACACCATGCTGGATATGGGGCATGGATTGGCTGCTGGAGCCATGCTGTGTCCCGGCTGTACCAGCATGGAAGGGGTCCGCAGAGTGGGCTGGAGGGGGATACTCACACCCTCTATGAGCTGGATGGATGGGAGCTGGAAATCCCTGCTGGAGTGGTGGTGACCCCCCGAGGTGGCTTGGGAAGCGAAGAGTGTATCCCCAAACGGCGCTGGAAGGGAGGGAAGGCTCCTCCCGGCCAGCTCGGACACAGCTGGCAAACAGCACAGCAGGGAGGTTGCTGCTGGGTCAGCAGATCAGAGAAGCGCCATGTCCCAGCTGGGCTCCGTCTTCTGGGGTGGTTTCGAGCCCTTACCAAGGAAAGGGTGCCAAGGGGGCGCTTCGTAGGACTGTCAAGGGTTTTGGAAGATGGGTTTGTCGCTGTCGAGGCAGGACGGGAGTGAGGAGACTCACTTAGAAGGTTGCTGAGAGTAAAACTCCAGTTTATTCAAAATTCCCCGCTCTTTTACACAGAGCTTCACGAGGACCAACTCCATTGGTCCTGAAGTGAAAATAACCTACACCATTGGTGCAGAGTACCTGACGCACAGTGATAGAACTGAACTATAAGCAATGTGAAAAACAAGAGAGATAAAGAATTATTTACATTCTTTTCCAACTCTTTCCCAGGCTTCTGCCTGGCTGGAAACTCTCTGTTTCTCTCTTTGACTTGAATCTGAGACCCACATGAGTTGTCTCTTCCACGGGGTGTTTTTGCAGGTGGGTGGGTGCCAGACCCCCCTCTGGTGCTACCTTGGCCTGCTCTGCCATGGTGAGATTCTCCCAAGGCACCCCTGGGAGAGGGGATGTTTTCCTGCTCAGAGGGGTTTCTCCGTTGCCTCCTCCTGCAGAGATCCACTGTGGAAAGCTGAATTATCATGTGCAGAAGACCCACAAGCCACGTTCTTTCCAGTGGGGTTTGTGGTTGGTGCAGCACTGGGCTCTCAGCACGGTTGCTTCTGCGGCACAGGACTGAGCACAGAGATGGGAGGACACTGGGATGGAGGCTGGGACAGAGAGCTTGGGGTCCTACAGCCAGTCTGGGGAACTGCAGCCCCTAGTAACCAGACACATGGAAATATCCATCATCCCAAACATTTCCATCACTGTGTGCCCACATCCCAAGGAGTGGGGGGAAGGTGAAAAAGATGACTCAGGCAGTTGGCAGGGCACTGGTGTGCTATGTGTGGTAACAACCAGGGAAATTTTTGTGTTCCCTAATTGGGGCATCTTCCAGCACCATCTGAGGGGACAAAGTAGCTCTAGCTGCAACCTGGCACTCGGTCCTTCTCTGCTTTCCAAAGCACCCTTTGGTTCTGTATGTACTAATGGGTTCAATCCTGGCTTTTTCCGTGGGAATTAATTTCAGCTCCTTTCCATATTTCCTATGGAAGCAGCGTTTTCCATTTCCAAGCGGATTTGATTAAAGGGAAGAAAAGGTTAAATTGAAGAGTTACTATCAGAAAAACAGAGCAAACTCCCTCTTTTCTCAATCTCTGGGAGGAGAAAAAGCAAAAATTTTGTCCCAAGTGCACTTTTTTTTTTCCAGCACCCAGTTTTGTCTGGAATTGGACAGAAAGTTTAGTGTAGTGCTGTGATCTGGGACTGGGGAAGGAGAGCACCCATTCCCTGGGGTACTTAGGCACCCTGGAGGGGCTTCCCTTGCCCATCTTCATAGCACTCCAAAGGCAGGCTGATAGATGGAGGAGGTTCCCTGCTCTTGCCAGGGGGACAGAGCCATAGGGCTCAATTTTGCTGGCTTATTGGAAGAGGAAAGGGACAGGAGCATCCTTCACAGGCATGTGTTGGATTTCGAGACACAATGGCATGCTGCTAGTCCCACTGACTTGGGAGCGGATTTGTTTCCTGCAAAACTAGCTCACACTCTTCCAAAGAAACAGCTATTCAATCTCCTGAAGACACTGCTGTCTGTTGTCCGTGGTTTAGCACCACAGGCCTGGAAAAGACAATTATTTAAAATGCTTTGGAAGCTGGACACTGCTGCAGTCCGGCCATCTGGTGAGATGCTCCTGGGACATCGTGCCTGAAGACAGCCCTGGGGGTGCCAGGCCTGGGTTCCAGGCAGGGATGGGGTCCCCAGTGGGGTGGGATGAGCTTCCCAGGGCATATGGGGTCTGACAGGCTGCAGCTGCTCAGGGCCTCGTACAGTCAGCAGGCGCCTTGCACAGCCCATACCATGATCATGAAATCTTTGCTGACGCAGCCAGCTGGCCTCCAGCTTTCTCCTGCTCTGCAGAGCTGCTACCAAGAGGGGTTTGCTTTTCCCTGCCCACAGGGAGGAAGAGGTCAGCTCTTCATCTGCTTGGGATAATCCCCTGTGTGGGAGGAGGAGAGAGGAAGGGAGAATGCTAAAAGGGAATTACTCTGCTGAGATGATGCATGAAGACAGATCCATTCTCAGCAGCCCCTTTCTGGGAGCTCTTGGCTGGTTTTCAAAATCCCAGGAGAGTTCCCTTGTAGGAGCCTGAGGAGGTGTGCTGGAAAGCCAGATCAGGTCAGATCCTCATGAAGTGTCAGACAGCAGGACTTGTCCCTGGACGTGCTTGCTCTCTGGGACGGCATCTTCAGTAGGTTTGAGATGTTGTGAACATTTGCCTTGCAGTGCCCTCATCTCCTGGTGCCACATGTGCAGCCCAGCAAAGCCCACACACCTCAGTGCCAGGGTAGTTGGTTGGACTTGATCATCCTTGATGGTCCCTTCCAACTCAGCTTCTTCTGTGATTCTGTAAATTCATGTAGGAGTGAAAAAAGGGTGCCTGAAGTGTTTTGGGTTCACGAGGTTTCAGTTCAGCACAGCCTGAAGATTATTTTCCACTGGTTTTGGATGCTGTTTATCCAAAGAATGTATCTGCCTGTGTAGAGTGGACAGGGTCCTCCACTGCCTTAACTTGTAATCAGTGAAGCTTCTGGGTTCTTCTGAGTTGTCTCAAATTGGGACATTTCCAACAGCCAAACCTGCAATGTTTCCAACTGACTATCCCCACAGAGATGCTGTCAGAGGACAGGCAGGGTGACAGAGGTGGCAGCAGCCCTGCATGGTCTCCCAGTGTGGCAAGTCTCCTGCTGCCTTTATGCCACCAGCCTGGGTGCACCTTTGTGCCAGCTGGGTTTGTGCTGTTGACTCTTTGCTCTTTGGAGCCATCAACATTTTGTTTAATGCTTTATTTTTATTTCATTTTATGCTTTAAAATGTTTTATTTAATGCTTTAAAATGTTTTATTTAAAGCTTTTGGTGCCCTCCTGTGCTTTTGAGAGCAAGTTACAGCTGCACCTGTGCTGGGGTCATCCCTCAGGTATTTCACCTCTCCCCCTACCCCTCCTGAGCAATTAATGCTCCCACCCATAGGGGTTTGGCAGGACCTGGGACTTCTCCAGGACTGTCTCCAGCTCTGGCCATAAAGAGCAGATGGTCAATACCACCTTAGGGTGCCTTACTGTAGAGGTCCTCAGGCTGTCCTGCCATCTTACCAAGTGAGAAGGTGCTCATCTCCAGATATCCCTAAGGACTTGTGCTCCTGTTTCTACCTGCTGGCCTTGACAGCTTTGACCATGTTCCTGACTCCCTGCCCTGAGAGTGGCCCTGAGGAGAAGGGTTTTTTTGCAGTCTTGGGTGGCCCTGTGGGTTTCTCCTCAGGAACAAGCCCCTCCTGTTCCTGACTGGCTTGAGCAGAAAGCCCTGAAAGTCAAGAAAGTGAAGAAAGTTCTTCTCCAAAAATGTTGGGCACATCCATGGTGCCCCCGTGCCCCCAGCTTCAGCTGTGCCGTGCAGTGGGGACTCCCCTGGCAAAACCCAGACCAGATGTCCTCAGGTTGGGATGTGATGGGAACGCCTGTCCCCCTGGCGCATCTTTCTTGGTCCAGGAGCTGGGAGGAAAGTGCTGGCAGATGTCCCAAGCCCCCCTGCCCCAGCAAGTAGGCTGAGCCCCAGCACTGGGCACTGCCTTCTCCAGGGGTCCCTGAAAGGTTTCTGGAGGTCCCAGGCATCAGTGGCTGGGCTGCCATTGCAGGTACAGTGACATGCATAGAAAGGGTAAGGAGAAACGCTTCCTAACTTTGACTCACAGCTGACACCTCCTGATCCCTCCCTCTGTCCTCAGGCTGGAGAAGTCTCCTCCTCACCCTTACCCTCCTGCCTTCTCTTCCTCCCACAGAAACGAAGGGGAAAGCAGTAAAAAAAAAATATCTTCAGCAACTCCTGCCTCCGGACCGTGGCCGTGCTCAGCTGCTGGGTTTTTCTTCCCTGCTTATTTCCTTGGATCCAGCTCGATGGTAATCTGAACCGAGAAACATGAGACTGCGAGACTTTCTGCTCACTCTGCTGCTCCCAGCCAGCTTCCTGTGGGGGGGCTCATGTGCTCAGCGCCCAGAAACCATCACCCAAGTCTCAAGTGCAGAAGGTAAGCCTGGAATGCTTTCCAGGGTGGTTTTCCTTCCCGGAATCAGCAGAGAAGCCTGGTTGCTGTTTCCCTCCGGGACAGATGCCTCTGCTGCAGACACACGGCAGATTTGTTGTTTGGTACGTTTGGGCTTGCTGAGGAGACCAGTGTAGGATTAGAGAGGATCTGTAGGAAGTACCCACTTTAATGTTTTTTGGCTCTTTTTCCTTGGTTCTGTCTGGTCAGGAGTTACCCGTAGCAGTGGGATGCAGGAGAGGGGGATAACAGTGTATACCAGTCCAGCTTTCTGAACTGTTTTGGACTGGATGCTGGCTCTTAAGGAAAGTTTATGTTATTGCTCTTTCTTCAAATTGTATTTTTGGCAGGACGTGTCAGAAAATTTTTACTTTCTTATTGCACTGATTGTTAAAATGGTTTCATTTTTTTGAGTGGTTCCGGCAGCTGCATGTTATTTGGTATAATAAGCAGTACAGGTCTTGCAAAGATATCCTTTGAATGGAAACAATGAGAAAGGAGGAGAAAGTATAGGAACATGTTAAACGCCACGAAATTGTGTTTTCTGAAAAAATGATCTTGCTTACTCTTGATGCCAAGGGGGTTAGGATGTGAAAACATTCCCCCTAGCCCTGATCCCTGGAGCCTGCTAGGAGGGAAATGGGGTGGGCAGTGCGGGAAGCCTGAGGTGGGGAGGTGATGCAGCAGGACTGCCGGCCAATTCCTTCCTCTCCACTTCTTCCCAGACTGCCCTGTGGACCTGTTCTTCGTCCTGGACACCTCAGAGAGCGTTGCCCTGAGGGTGAAGCCCTTTGGGGACCTGGTTACCCAAGTGAAAGATTTCACCAACCAGTTCATTGATAAGCTCACCCAGAGGTACATCCCCCGGGGGTTTATCCGCATTGCTTTGGGGATGGAACCTGCAGCCAGGTGGGATGCCGAGATCCCCCTGTGTGTCTGTCCACAGAAGGAAAGAAGGAAAGCAGGGATGCTGGGGAGGGGGATGGGAGCCTCTCCCCCCTCTCCCAGTCCTCAGCTGCTCAGTTTTTATCTCTGTCTCTGCTGACAGTAGCAGCGTGGCTTTAGCAGGGCTGCTTGCACCCACTCTCAGGAAAGACAGGAATTGCTGAAGTGGCTGACGTGGCAGCCCAACCCCACCACCTCCGGGTGGCTGTGTGGTTCTTGTGCAGTGCCGAAGCGATGTTGGTCCCTGTGCTCAGGCCCAGAACCACCCGGGTGCATGGGTAGCAGCAGGACACTTCTGGAGTTAAACTCAGCGCTCACAGGGTGAGCTGCAGTGCACACCCTCCTTTGCCACTGGTGCACCCCTTACCCATCCCATTCCCCAGCTCTTTATCTTCCTCCTCCCACCCACCTCTGCAGCCACCAACCCAGGTCAGACCCTGGCTTTCCCAAGGGAATGCCCAGGGATGCCCAGGAGCACCAAAGCTCCTGGATCTCAGAGGGGGTCCTTCTGGGCTTGACAGTAGGCAGGAGATCCATGGATGCACAGGAATACCACAAGTGCTGGAGGCACATGGGTCTTGCTGAGCTCCTCAGGGCAGCAGGAGATGTGTGCTGGTGCCCAGAGGGGCACTGTGGGGATGTCCCAGTGCTGGAAGGGCAATACCCTATCTCAGGAGGGTTAGGAGGGAGTTAGCAGTTCACCTGTCCATTGCCCAGGCAGAAGAGTTGTCCCACAAGGCTTTGAGTGACCAGGAGCTTTGTGCTTGGGAACAACCTGTCAGGCTTCCATCAGTGCAGCATCACTTTCCCCTGTGCAAGGCTCTGGGCTCAGTACTGCAGTGGGATGGAGGGAACAGCAGTGGACAAGGGTCAGGTGACTTTGGGACAGCCCCTGCTGGGCAGAGAGATGTGCAACACCACTCCTTTGGGACTGGCCCCTGCTTACTTAAAAAGAAATCACATCCCTTTGGGATTGGTCCCCATATCCCGAAAAGACCTTTTTCGGGGCAATGGCCAAAGCACAGGTGGTGCTTCTGCCCCAGGGAATCACAGGTGCTGGATGTGTCAGTGCACAGGACAGGGCTGCAAAACATGCACACTCATCCTTCCCCAAGTCAGAGCATCCTTCCAAGGGAGGCATCCCCCTCTGATTTTAACCATCTGGCAGTGGAAAACCTCTCTGAGACGTGTTTCAGTGGTTACCTGCCTTGCACACACACACACACACCTGGCTGTCTGGCTCAGCCCCTCTTGGCCAGCTCCAGCCCCTGACACTTCTTCCAGAAGCCTGTCTTGCCAAGCTGTTTGATCCCTGCACATGCCCACCCACTGCATCGCTTTGCCCTTCCACCCACAGGAGAAGCTACCCTGGGGTCCCACGGTGTGCTTTGCATGGGAAGCGTGGCTCAGCTTTGCAGAAGAGTGGGAAACCCTGGCAAATCCCCGTTATGCAGAGGATTTGCATTTTCTGTGCTGGCATAAGTGAAGCGAACTCTGTGTCCTGGTGCATCCGTGCAGGTACTACCGCTGCGACCGCAATCTGGTGTGGAACGCGGGAGCGCTGCACTACAGCGACGAGGTGGTGCTCATTAAGAGCCTCACGCCAATGCCCAGCGGGCAGAGCGAGCTGAAGAACCGGGTGTCATCTGTCAACTACATCGGGAAGGGCACCTACACCGACTGCGCCATAAAGCGCGGCATCGAGGAGCTGCTCATCGGGTCAGGCAGCGAGGCTGCAGCAGGCACAGCGGGGTGGGGCTGGTGGTGGAGGGTGGGAGCTTCTGTGCTGGGACATCCCCGTGCATTGTGCAGAGCTGTCCCCAGGCTGGGAAAAGAGATCACAGCGTGGGGACAGGGGTGGCAAGTTGCTCCGGCCTCGCTGAGATGAGGCACACCCTGACCACAGGCCGGGGCACTGTCTGGGGTGAGTGTCCCCAGGTGTCCAAAGCACTCCTCTCCAACTAAATCCTTTCAACGTTAAATCCTGTGTTTAAACCCTTCCAGTGGTTCCCATCACAAGGAGAATAAATACCTAATTGTCGTGACTGATGGACATCCCTTGGAAGGTTACAAGGAGCCCTGTGGAGGCCTGGATGATGCTGCCAATGAAGCCAAACTCCTGGGGATCAAAGTGTTCTCTGTTGCCATCTCTCCCAACCACTTGGTAGGGACCACACAGCAGGGATGCTCCCGGCCGGGGATCACCAGTGGGACCGCGGGACCCCTAGTGTGACAAAGGAGGGACACTCAGAGCCTGCACAGGTGCCCACAGGTCTCACTTTGCCCTCCCCACCTCCAGGACCAGCGGCTGAACATTATTGCCACAGATCACGCTTACCGCCGCAATTTCACTGCCACCAGCCTGAAGCCCACCCGGGAGATCGATGTGGAGGAGACCATCAACACCATTATCGACATGATTGTGAGCACTGCCCATCCCTTCCCCAGCCCGCCCCCTCCCCAGGCCCCCCTGTCCCTCTTAACCCCCTTCTCTTTGCTTTCTTTTCTTGCAGAAACTTAACACGGAGCAATCGGTGAGCATTCCCCTGCGACTGACCCTGTCCCCTGTGGGTGACCCATGGCTAGAGGGGCTTGGTGGCACAGCCCTGCCCTGCAGGCAACCCCTGTCAGCCTGGGAAGCCCTCCCCAAACAGGGTGGAGGCTGACCCTGCTGCTGCCACCTCCTCTAATGCTATTTCCTCCTTCCCCCTCTGCAGTGCTGCTCCTTCGAGTGCCAGGTGAGTCAGCCTTTTGAGAGCTCTGTGCCCTTCCCTCTTATCCCAGTGGTCCCAGGCTGTGCCTCAGGCTGGTCTAACCTACACCTCTCTCCTGCAGCCTCCCCGAGGGCCCCCTGGACCTCCTGGTGACCCTGGCCATGAGGTGAGGGACTGGTTGTGGCTGTGCTGTGGGACTGGGACAGTGGGATGGGATCACTGAGGATGCTCAGAGGCCTGGAATCATTATCATAGAACCAAGAAGGTTGGAAAAGGCCCCCAAGGTCACCTGCAAGGCATGGACCTACACCATGCTCCCATATGGCCCACACCATCTGCTTCCTGTATCCATGGAGCATTTCTGCTCCCATGCTCCCTGCTCTTCTTTCAACAGGTCATCGTTCTGTTCCTGGGGATGATAAACTAACTGTGTTTCTCTCCTGTACTGCAGGGAGAACGAGGCAAGCCAGGTCTTCCCGGTCAGAAAGGAGAGGCTGGAGACCCAGTAAGTGAAGGACCAGCCGTGGTGACTCTGCACAGGGACTGTTTTTTGGCTGCTTCTGGCCAGACTTCTCAGACACATCCTCACCAGCATCACTCTGTTTCCACGGGGTGTGCAGTCATGCATGCTGTGAAGTGGGGTGGCTCCCCCTCTTGCTACAAGGCTTCCTTGTTCCTCACCCAAAAATAGCCATCCCTCCTGCAGGACATGTCTCTGACTCATGTGTGCCAGCCCAGGGGTGGACTCTGGGCTCCCTCCTGTGTCCTCTGACACAACAAGCACAACAGTGTTACAGGGAAACCTTTGGTAAATAACCTGAGAGCATGAGGAAACTATTTCCCTTATCCTCCTCTTTTATTTTACTAGGCATACTTATTTTTGGGAGGCACATTTCTCCCACACACCTAAGCATGCAGTTACCCATCTTGTGTGCTCCCAAACTGGAAACCCCATGCCATGCATTTTTTTCTTCCCAAGGGTTTTCTGCCCTTCCCTCTCCTCCCAAATGATGTGTCCTCAAGCACCCGGTTTCCCTCACCTCCATGAAGAGCTGGAGATGGTGGAGGTGAAGGCAGGACCTCTTGGCCCTCCACAATCATCCCATGCTCCCAGACCAGGAAAACAAGGAGCAGAGTTATGGGAGAGGCTCCTGTGTGAGAGAATGGCAACTGGGCCCCATATCAAGAGTCTGGGGGGATGCTGTTCAATGGTGGTGACTGTATCTGCCTCTGTAACATCATGTTTCTGTCCCCTAGGGCAGGCCGGGAGACATGGGACCTGTTGGCTACCAAGGAATGAAAGTACGTGGGGCTGCAGGCTCACAGAGGTGGTTCAGAGGTGGGCCACAGGCTTTGTGCTGCAACTGTTCTCATTCTCCCATTTTCCTTTCTCCTTACCTCTCTAGGGTGACAAGGGAAGCCGAGGAGAAAAGGTGAGGACAGCAGGGATGTTTGGGAGAGATCCCTATGTTCCCCATGAGTGGTTATCCTGCTCTGGCCCTGCAGCAGTGTGGTGTTGGGGTCTGCTGTATGTTGCCACATCCACCCCTCCTGCTGGCACTGCCTGAGCCAGGAGCAGGGATGCAGCAGGATCCAGTGGGATCCAGTGGTGCGCAGAGCAGTGGTAAATGCCTGCATTCTCAGACTGAGCTGGTTTGGGGACGGCACTGTGGTGGGGGGATGGATCTGCTCTGCATGAACATATGACACCTCTGTCCTTCCCTCTGCAGGGCTCAAGAGGAGCCAAAGGAGCCAAGGTAAGACTCTGCTTTTGCACCATTTTTCTCTGTTTGACATTTGGGAGGCATTGGGAATTTGGGAATCACTTCATGGTCCTGGTACTCTGTTGCAGGGTGAGAAAGGCAGGCGTGGAATCGATGGCATTGATGGCATGAAGGTAAATCTCTGCTCCGGGACACTTTGCTCGGCCTGAGCACTCTGGCTTTTGCCCATCCAAAACCATTGTGGGGTCTGGGGATGAAGCCTGTGGGGCAGTGGAGTTCCCTCCCTGCAGGGTCATCCATCTGCCAGCGAGGGAGGGGGCTGGAATGTCCCTTCAAGGAGTCTAGGATGATGGATGGGGTCTTCCTATGAGTGTCACTCATTGGGGACCCCTGATTTGGCTGCCTGATAGGGTGAAGCTGGATACCCTGGATTACCTGGCTGCAAAGGTTCACCTGGATTCGATGTAAGTACTCTGTGGGTGCCCCTGGCATGCAAGTGAACACTTCTTCCATGATGGTGTGTGGAAATAGGGAATTGCTTGGAAATGTGTGATGCTTATATCCCAGGTATGGCAGCTCAGGGCTGACCCTGGGGCAGTCTGCCTCATCCTTGCCTGCAAGGTGTCCTCAGTTGCCCTTGGGCTGCCTGACATTGCATTTTCTCAATTTCCCTGCTTTTTCCATGCTCCCGGGATGACATATTGGTGGTGGCACCAGTGTCACTGTAATCCAGCAGACCAAAACCACCTTTTCTGCCATTTTCCTCTGAGCTTCAGAAGTGTTTCAGCAATGTGGGTGCTGCATTGCTTGCACAGCTCCACAGTGGAGGAGTCCCTTCTGGCCATGTCCCTCCTGTCCATTGCAACCGGGAGCCACCCACCAGGCTGCTGGGATGCTCAGTCCATGCCCAGTTTCCTGCAGATGGTGTCACCAGTTCAGGTTCCAGTGACGCTGCTTTTAATTTCATCAGGGAGCTCAAGGCCCCCCTGGACCGAAGGGAGATCCTGGTGCTTTTGGACCCAAGGGAGCAAAAGTGAGTTGCTCGGCCCAGCTTCACACAGAGGAGGGATGCTGGGACCCCTCTCCTGCAGGAGGGATAGGTGGAAATTCCTTGCACAGAATCAGAATGGTTGGATGGGAAGGGACCTTAAAGTCCACCTCATTCGACCCCCTGCCATGAGGAGTGGGACCTTCCACTAGACCAGGTTGCTCCAAGGCCTGTCCAACCTGGTCTCTTTACTAGAGGATGGCCCCCATCACCCATAGTGTGACCACGCTTCAAGGGTGCCCACAAGCCTGGCACAAAGCATCCCTGAGCTATCAGGGGAGTGCTATGAAAAGGTGGCTTTCACTGGGAGTGCAGTAGGGAGGGATCTGTTGGGATGGGGAGACACCAAAACCCTGAAAGAGGTTTGGGGTGCACTGTGGCTCCTGACAGCTTCTGTGCTGTGGGAGCTGAAATCCACTGCTGGATACAGTCTTGATGGTGCCTTGTGTTCTTGTGAAGGGGGAGCCTGGGAATGACGGGAAGCCTGGCCGACAGGGGATTCCTGGCAACCCTGGAGAGAAGGTGGGTGAAGAAGCACTCTTGTGTGAACATCCTCTTGCTCTTTGTGAGAGGACCCCTGCTACAGCCTGGGCTTTGAAGCAGAGCTTGCCCAAAGCTCTTCAAGTGTGCAGGGCTTTAATCCAGAACCGTCTGACTTCTTGTTTGCATCCCTGTGTGTTGCAGGGAGCTCCTGGGAACCAGGGTGAGCCTGGACCAGCAGGAGAGACTGGTGACGAGGTGAGCTTTCTACCTGTGATGCCCCTGTGTGTGCTTGCAGGCCATCCCCACCCCCTGACCACCCCTCTTGTTTCTCCACAGGGTTCTCTAGGTGAGGATGGTCCTCCTGGAGAACGGGTAAGTGAGAGAGCCTCTGCTCAGGGCAGGGGTTGGTACCCTCTGGAAGAGGAGGAGGAAGCCTAGGAGTGAGCCAGCTCAGAGATGAGCAGTGAGGGAGGGGATTGCCTTGCTTGGGAGCAGGCCCTGATTTTGTGATGCCACCCTCTCTTTGCAGGGCAGCAATGGCGAGAGAGGACCCCCGGGCTCGCCAGGTGACCGTGGGCTGAGAGGACAGCCGGTAACTGCACCCGCAGGGGAGCCTTCCACATCTGCTTGCAAAGAGGGGTGATGCTTGGAAGTCAGGGGCTGGGAATAGGTGTCCGGTGGCTAATTCCGACAGCCTGTGGGCTAGCAGGCAAGCTTAGTGCCTTGCCCTGCCAGTTTGGGAGGGATCTGCTGTTGCCCCTTTATGCTGGCAGGTAATCATCTAACAGCCAAAATCCAGAGGAGAGCATGCCCAGCAAGCCAAGAGCAAGTAAACAGCTGTTAATTCCTCCCTCACAACTGGAAAACTAGTGAATAAAGAGGAAAGAGTCAAGGTGTCCTACACTGGGTGCTCAGGGGCTGCATGAGCTACCACTGGCTTGGGCAGGAGGGCACAAGCAGCAGCAGGGCAGCATGAGTGGATATGGATGGAAGGGGGAGCACTCTTCCCTCCCTTTTTGAGTAGGAGTCACTAGGAAAGTATGTTTCCAGCCTGTTGGGGTGAGTCATGAAGCGTGAGCGTGGGAGGGACAGGCAGGAACCCTCAGCAGGCCAGGACAAACATGTGGCAAGCTACAGCCATGCCACGCATTACAGGGAGGGGCAGGGGGTGCTCTGTGCCGGGTGGGGGTGGTGGGAGCCAGGGCATTCCACAGCAGCATCCCATAATCCCATCCACCATTGCACCGCTCCTTTCCTGTCCCTGCAGCAAAGACAGCCAGGACGCAGCACCAGCTCGGAGGGGGGCAAAGGTCTGCCCTGGGGAGGGGGCAGCTCTGGCAGGGGGCTTCTGGCAGCCTCCCCCTTCCTGCTTGCAGCTTGGGGAGCGTCAGCGCTGCTGCATGGGGTGTGCGGGGCAGATGTGCGGGAGATGAAGGCACGCCAGTGTCCTGCAGTTAAATTGTTCAGCAGATGATGGGCTGCTTCCTTCCAGCTTTGAGTCCAAGCACGAGGCTGTGTAACCTTGCCAAAAACGTCTCAGGGCCATTTGGAAGTTGGGTTTTATATTTGCTGTTTGGCTTATGTGTCTGGATGCTTCTAGGTTGCAAACAACAGCTTTAGGTCACCAACCTCTCAACCGCTTCCCTCAAATTCCCCTCTCCTCTCCCTCCCCAGCTTGCTCGTTGCTGGCCACGGGTCTGGATGGGGAAGGTGCTGCAGAGACAGCCTAGGTTTGGCAGTCACATTGCCCCTGTTGGGATGCAGCTCTGCTGGATTTGTGGAAGGCTATTCAGTGAAAGGGAACTGAGCCATGTCCATGGGGTATTTCCTTCTACTGGAATTGTTGGGGTGGCAAACCACTGAGACTCAGGTTTTCTGCACCCTACTGGCCAGTCAGTTCTCTGCAAACAGCCCTGGCTCAGGCTTCTGAGTGTTAGCAAAGGAGAGGGGAGAACATCAGCAGTCAGAAGTGAGGGTGTCTCTTCATCTGTAGCTTGTTCCCATGGAAATCCCCTTAGCTCCATAGGGATGGTAGGCTGGAGGAAGAGGAAGGATGCAGCTATCTTGGAAGTGGTGCTCCTCTCTATGCAGACTGCCCAGGCTATGAGCTGCTCTAGAAGACCAGCCATGGGTCCAGTGTGGCTAGTTTGGGTCCAGGGCCAGCTCAGTGTATCTGCAGAAGATTAATCTCTCCACACTTTTGCTTTTTTGGCACAAAATGGGCAGAAAAATGTCCCCTAGATGCAAGTTTCACAAGGCCTTCCTCTTAGGGCTCTCTTCTTGGATTCAGTGTGGCCACACTAGTCTATCTTTATCTTCCTCCATCTCTGGCAGCTCCCTACTCAATTCCTGAATCAGCTTCAAATCCTTGCTTGTTTGAATGACTGCATTTCCATCTGACTGTGGGTGGTGCACCCCTGCTCCCTTTGCACCCACACCTGCTCTTCTGTGTATGTTTTCAGGGAGAACCCGGACCACCTGGTGACCAAGGGCGGGAAGGACCCCTCGGTCCACCTGGTGACCAGGTAAGAGCTTGGTTTAACCTTCTGGATCTCAGATGGAAGTGGCTGGGATGTCAGGGAGAGGGGGATGGAAGATTTAACTGATGCCATAGCATCTTGGGGCAACTTCTCAGCATCTTCCAGACCAGGAAGCAAAGCTGGTGAAGAAGATCAGGGATTTCTATGAGAACCAAGGATATGAACAGGGACAAAAAAAATGCAAACTTGGCTGCTGGGCTGTGGGCAGAACAACCTGCACACCATTTCCCAATCCCATGGAAACAGATGTCAACACATCTGACAGAACTGGAAACTGGCAAGTGCAAGCTGCAGCCACACACAAAATGTTCATGCCTGGGGCCAGAAACTGCTTAATTCAGTCGGGGTGTCAGTCAGACATCTTGTGTCAGTGAGGCTATCCTGACGTGTCCCCAGGGGTGTCCCTGACACCCTTGGCATCCTACAGAGACAGCCTCTCCCAAAGCCAGTGTTCCTCAAGTCTGCTGACTGCAAGGTGTGATCCTCCTGCTCTGGGCTCTGCCTGTGCCTAGTGAGCCTCAAGGAATAGATCTCAGACTGCACAGGCTTGCTAGAGAGCAGGGTGGGCCACCTCCAGCCTGAGGAAGGCTTCTGTCCCCTGCACACTTGAAGGCTCCTTCTTCCCTGCTGATAACTCGAGGTCTGGAGGTGTTGCTGGGTCAGTCCTTCATGGTCATGGCACTGATTGCAATGGCCAACAGGATCTTTGCACCTGAGCAAGCACACTTTGACATCATCCGTGGACTGGGCTCTGTAGGACAACTCCCCTTCTACCCACACCTTCAGAGTTTTGATAGATCCCAAGATAGAGGAATGTATTAAGATAAACACTCCCACACTGGCAGAGCAGGACTCCCACAAGAGGTGAAGCATGGAGGCCAGCATGCAGACAAATGTGAGACAGCTTTTAAACTCCCTTCTGCTTGGCCGAGTGTTGGAGAGACCTTGGATCCGGAGTGCAGGACATGAAGGAGGGGCTGTTGCATTCATGTTGTCTCCAGCATGGCTGACCCCCATGTCAGACCTTCACTGTGCAGAGAGTCTGGCAGTATCCAGCTTGCTCAGGTGTCTTTTTGGGATGTGGCCCTGGTGGGAAAACAACTCTTCAGATGTGTGTATGTAATGGTCCACTGATCAGTGCTGCAGGCTGGTGCCAGCAAAAGAGACTGGGGCTGGAGCTGCTCTCTGTGTGGTAGAAGCACCTTCCAGGTTCAAGGCAGGAGAAAGACCACGTAGAAGACAAAAAATTGATGCAAGTGTGGTGGGGAGCCAGGCTGGGACAGATCCTGCTTCCAGACAGCCTTTCCTGTTGTGGAGGAAGAGGAGAAAAAATGGTCTCTCCTGCAGACCACTAGTTTTCCTTCGCCACCACTGAACTTGAGTCAACCCCTATCAGAGAGGGAAGCATTACAAAAGTAGCTCAGTGCCTCCCCAGGCCAGAGGCTGCCCCAGTGTTCCCACCACTACAGAGAGATTTGAAAAGCAGTTGAAAAGTGAGGATGATTTTTCCATGAGCTGAGAAAGAATGCTTGTGTTTGGCCAAACTAAAAAGAAATGTGTAATTAGGTTTGGGTAAGAGTGGGACCTTGGCAAACACAAGTATATTTTATCTGCAAGCTCTGGATCTTGGAGTGTGTTTCTCTTGGCAAGGGGGAAGTGCTCCTGCTAACCTGTGGCTCTCTTTCATCCTGAAAGAGATGCAAGAGAGTTTGTATCTGAGAGAAGCTAAAGGCCAGCACACTCTTTCCCTGAGCCTCATGGGACGGGTTTGGTGGCCCTTCTCTATTCCATGATGGCCATGCGTTCTGTTGGGTCCTTGTTGCACCCAGAGAAGTAGTGGACAAGATTTACTCACCCAAAATCCTGCGTCATCCATCATAAACTCTTCCAAGGCCATGAGGGATTCACGCTGTATGGCTGCAGTGAGGATGAGAGTGGCCAGTGTGAGCCAAGGGTGCTGTGGCTCCAGCCTTGGCTGGTGTGAAGGATCGCAAGTTCCTGTCCTTCCTTCCAAGATTTCTCTCTTCTGGGCTTTTGTGCAGAAATAACGTCACATGCCTTGAAGCAGTTCAGTGGTCTGCACTGGGCTATTTTAAGTTTTCTGCACCCACGAGGATACCTTTCCTTGGAAGAAAGGTGTGTATGGCATCTATGGATGTTCAGCACCAGGTCTCTGCATCCCTCTGTCCTCTCCAATGCTTGGGGACTGGCTGCACACTCAGCTCCACACAAAATGCTGCCTGAATATTTGATGTGATGCCAGAGCTTCACTACCCACTCACTGTCCACCATCATACCCCACCTCCTGGAAAGCAAACCCTGCAAAGGGCTGTGGGCACTGAGCAGAAGGTGGAGGGGTTCCCTTTGGCATCTGTGGAGCTCTCAGAGAAAAGAACCCTCCTCCTGCCTCTTCTCCTGTCTCATGGTGTCTCTGGCCAATCCTGCAGCTGGTGGAGCAAGCAGCCACTGCTCAGGTGGTATGTGGCAGCATGACAGTTTTGGTCTGTTCTAGCACATACTGCCAGGGCTCTGCAGCCTCTTGAGAACAGAAACTCCCCAGAGCCACCCTGGCTGTGACCCAGACTTGTCCAAGCTATATGGTACATGAAAGTTTGTGTCACCTTCAGGTGATGTGCTTGCACCAAGGACCATCCTTCAGGGACACCTGTGTCATGGTTGATGAGGTGCCACTGTGCCACTCAGCTGTGCTTGATGCTGGAAAGCATCAGCCCATCCTCCCTAGTCCTCTTCCCACCAGGTACTTTGTTACTAGGGTGAGCCCTGAAGGAGAGGGGTGGTTTTGGGGGCCTCAGCTGCCACTAAAAGCACATGATGTGTGGCCCATACCTGCCGTGTTACACCTTAGCCAAGAAAGCTTTTGAGTTTGGTTCATTCTCAGCAGGGATCTACCTCCCATGTGGTTTCACAGAGAAAATGGCCTTAAGGGAGGAAGGAGGAAAAGGACAAGCCAGGCACGGCTCCTGAAGAACTTCCCTATCAGTATTCACCCTCCTCTATAGGTCCATTCTGGGGCTGTCCAAGGTGGAGCTAACTTGGCAATGGGCACCTCTGCCCATCAAATCACAAAACGAAGGAGCCAGCCCTTCAGGGCAGGAGCGGCAGCAAGAAAAAGCACCTTTGAGAGAGCTTTCTGTGTTTCCCTAGGGTGAGCCCGGACCCTCAGGACCCAAAGGCTACAGGGGAGATGATGGCCCCCCCGGCAGTGAGGTCAGTGCTGCTTCATCATTGCTTCTTCTGCAGGGAGGGGATGTAGGGATGAGCAGCAGGTGCTGCCCATTAGGGCTTTCCCCAAATCCCATGGATACTGGAGCGCTATTGGACCTATTGGTACAGGCTCCAGTACTGGCTTCCTGGCAGACACATCCAGGTGTTTCCATGGGTCCTTAAGACCACAGCTGCCTTTTCCCCTACCACCCACAGGTCATTTCTTGGAGAGGTTATAGCTACACCACAAACCACAGAGCTTCCCATCACAGGAGCTGGGGAAGATGCTGTCTGGGGACAACCCCCTGAATCTGCCAGAAGGTTTGATCCCCAGGAAGGGGAGCAAATGGAAGCCAAGCACAGCCGTTGGCTTTCATAGAAATACTAGAACATTTGATCCTAGTTTGAATCCTAGTTTGGGTTGGGAGAGACCTTAAAGTTCATCCTGTTCCTACCCCTGCCATGGGCAGGGACACCTTCCACTATCCCAGGTTGCTTCAAGTCCCATCCAACCTGACCTGGAACACCTCCAGGAATGGAACAGCCACAGCCTTTCTGGGCAACCTTCTGGGCCTCCCCAGTCTCTGAGTAAAGAACTTCTGACATTTTGTCTAAATCTTCAGGTTGCTCTTGTATAAGCAAAACACCTCCACGGTAGGCTTGTGTTGGTAGCTAGTTGCCTCAGAAGTCATTGTCTTCTCAGCTCAGATGGTGTTGTGCAATGCTTGATTTCTTCTGCCCCTTTCAGGGCCCAAAGGGATTGCCTGGAGCACCTGGGCTGCCTGGGGACCCTGGGCTGATGGGAGAAAGGGTGAGTGGTTCTGCTGGGGAGATAACATCGTCCAAGAACATCAGCATCCTGTTGCCATGCTACTTGAGGGGTCTGCATTTCTTTATCTCATCTGTGCTTGCCTTCCTTTCCAGGGGGAGGATGGTCCTCCTGGGAATGGCACAACTGGATTCACAGGTGCCCCAGTAAGTTTTTGTGCTGCCTTGAAACTGTAATACCATTATGTCTACTTGTCCAGCATAACACACTTCCTTTTCTCCATCCTCAGGGGCAGCCAGGAGACAGAGGCGACCCTGGTATTAACGTAAGTGTGCTGCTTCCTCAGCCACACAGGATTTACCCTTGGTGGTGGTTTGGCACTTGGAACTTATCCATCAACTTCATGTTGGAATGGGCTCCCTGAAGCAACCTGCATCTCCAAAATCCTCAAAACCTCTGCTCACCTCTCCCTGCAGTGGATGCTTCCAGTGGAAGTGTGCTGCTGTGGCTGTAACACCCAAGGGCAGCAGCTTGCACTGGGTGCTCTCTGAAGCAGTTCCAGAGCCAGAGTTTGGGGTTGGGAGTGTCACCCAGGGGAGCTGGGTAATGCTATGCCAAGGGATTGATTTAGTGTTGGGTCAGTGGTTGAATTCAGTCTTAGAGGTTTTTTCCAACCTAAACGATTCCATGATTGTGCAGCAGTGAAAGGCACCAAAGAAGTTCTTGTCATCAAGAGCACTGAAATCTGGTGCTGGAGGGCTATGTGCTGCTCTCTACCCCTGTCCCAAGCCAGGGGTCACCACATGCCAGCACCAACTTCACCATGCTAGCAACAGCTAGTCACCCAGCAGCCACATCCATACTGTTTTTCAGGGAACAAAAGGCTATGTCGGACCTAAAGGTGATGAAGGGGAAGCTGGCGACCCTGGCGATGATGTGAGTAACCATGCTGTATCCTCTTTTCCTGTGAGCACAGTGCAGGAGCCTTGGGCAATGATGAGCCAGAGCCCATCAGACTTTGTAAATCTTCAATCTTTTGCCTTTGAGCAGTGACTGATGGATAGCAATGGGAGCTCCCTCCAGGTGTTCATTTTGTGTCCGACAGCTGGTAAACCTCCACATTTATTAAGCTGAGGTGGGCATCACCTCTGTAAGGCTTTGTATGCTTCCAGGTGGCACTGATGATGATGGCACTGGTGATCTGAGCTTTATCACTGCCCCATGGAGGGAGATTTCCCAGTGTCCCTTCCAAGACCTCATTTAATTTGGTACAGCAACCTCAGATAATACTTTAGTGGTGAAGCAGGGCTCATCAGACATCTGGAGGGAAAGGTGATATGTAGGAATCCATAAAATCAGAGGGTTTTGGGAAAGCTGCAAAAGTCAGGCCTCAGACACAGCAGAACTGTGATTAGAGCTAAGCAGTAGCCATAAGATTTATCAGCAAAAAAGTTATAAAAGAAGTAGAAAGTAAGGACAAATAAAACAATGGTCTGTGTATTAATGCTTGGCTAGAATAAGTCCCTAAGCTACAGAGACGTATATCTAGCGAGATATTAGGAAGTTCTAAGCTTAATAATGGAGCTATGTGTGTTGTATTTTAAGATTTACAAGTATGTATTGTATTTGAAATAAGCAGGCATTGTTTTAGCCAAAGGTACATGTGCTAATCGTGGTTGGATAAACCCATTGTCAATATGCTTTTCCTTTGTGTGATTGGTCCAAAAGATTTTAAAGTGAGTTGAAACACTGAGTGCATTGTCTGCTGCCTGGGATGTGAGCTGCTGGCATCTTCCCATTGTCATAACCGTGTAATGAGACTGATGCTGGAAAATAAACAGCTCAAGACACGTTCCACAACAGTCCCATCCCATCTGTGATTTGTGCATAGACCCCTGGCCAGCAATAGTGCTACCCCCTGACACACACAGAGTTATGAGTTTTGGTTTTGTTTTCATTCCAGAACCTGACCCCTGGACCCAGTGGCATCAAAGGAGCAAAGGGCCACAGGGGACGTGAAGGTCCCCCAGTAAGTAAGGACTCTGGCAGGGTTGACCCCGGTGGCATGCATTCCACCATCCCTCCATCCCTCCATCTCTCCATCCATCCCTCCATCCCTTCATGTTCTGGGTGATCTGGGAGCAACACCAAGCCATGCACACATTGTGTGTGCTCACTGCCTTCCCACCTGGGTGTACATGGCACATGTGGAAGTGAATATCCTCCTTCCACCTCCGTGCAGCAGCCGGGAATCCTGCAAACAAGCAGATATTCCTTCTCCAAGTCCCGTTCAGGGGCCAGCAACTGGGAAGCCAAGAGGTTTTTCACAACTCTGCATTGTTTAGCAAGGTATCATTAGAGTACGCCACAGATAGGACTGACTGCTCCTGTAACTCCTCTGTGCTTCTGTTTGACAGGGACCACCAGGACCCATGGGGCCTCCAGGACCAGATGTGAGTGGGACAGGATTGAGGTGCTGCTTGCTGGCCTGCTCTGTGCATTGCTTTTGCTGTTAATCAAACATTTCTTTTCCTCTGTTTTCAGGAATGTGAAATCTTGGACATCATCATGAAGATGTGTTGTGAGTATCCCTATACCTCTCTTCCCACCCTGCTCAGCGCCTTGCTAAGCAAGAGGCAGCTGACTTTTCCCTGTCCCCAGGCAGCAGAATGCCATCCATGGGCATCTCTCCCCTTTCATGAGCCACAATTAAGTCCTCTTGATCCACGGACCTCCAATTCCATCTGTAGAGTAGTTCATACAACTGTGTCTCACCTGTGTGTGGCATAGACTAGTTTGTCTGTGGTTCTATACAGGGAAAACATGAGCAAAGTTGTGTAAAATCCTTGAGTGGCCATTTTGCAATGTTTTTTTTTTCTAAATGTCATGTTCTAATATTCACCCCTGGGAAGGCGGGGGTGCTGGTTTGGGGTGTCCTGCCATGGGGAGAAGCAGCATATATGTCCTACAGAGGACTTCTGGCTCATGGCCAGTATTGAAGTGCTGGAAGGACACAGGGTACTTGGGGAACTGACTTTGAGCACTATACTCTGGCGATTTACTTAGCTTTTTGTTTTGTTTAAATAAGAATGCACCAGCATGTGCAGACACAGAGCTCTGTGTGTGTGTGGTGCTCCAGGTCAGGGCATCATAATCTGAAATAGGAAAGAATCTGGGTATTTCAAATGGGTGAGAAACCTCCATGAGCTTGGATTGTCCAGGCCAGGTGTCTGTGGGTTTGCAGAGACACAAACTTGCAGTCTGCATTAGGGTGTGAAAAACCCTTTTGTCAAGCATTTTAATGTTGTCTCTTTCTCTCCCTTTTCCTCTAGCTTGCTGCGGTGAGTGTTACTTGGCAAAGTTGCTCTGCAAACATTTGCTGGTCCTTCTCCTTCCTTGCACCCCTCCCTTTCCCTGCTCCTTGCCTTCTGCTATGGAGATGTAGTGAGAGCCTGTGAGAGAGAACCAGGCATGAGCCAGGCAAGGGAGGGCAGGAAGCAATCTCTGAGAGTGCTACACGGATTAGAGGCTGATGTGGCTGAGTTCTGCAACTGGAAAATGGTTGTCAAGATGCTGTGTGCCAGCAGGGTGGATTTTGTCCACCCATTTTACAGTTGGGATGTCTGTTCTGGGTACACTGTGGATGTAGCTCTGTCCTCTTCCTTCCAAATCTTGTGCTGGTCAGCAGAGGAATGTGCTGGGCTTTATTTCTTGATGCTGCCCTGATAAGTTTGGTTTGCAGCCCAAAAGCTTGAAGGGCACATTATGTTCTTCAGCTATGAGAAAGAGGGGAGCAAACTGAGTCAGCCTCCTCCAGCCCACCAGTGCCACCTCTGTCCTGCTGGGCTGGGTGAATGGAAGAAATGAAAAGGCTTATGAGGAAGGTTATGGAGTAATTACTGGGTGGTTTAAAGGATACTCACAGCCTGAAAATGCCACATGTCTCATTAGGGAGCAAATGCACATGGAAAAATTTGTAAACTGGCTCTCAAGTCTCCTCTGCAGCTATTTTCCTGCATTGTTTTACACCGTGCTTTGGGGCATAGGCACCCAGCTGGGCAGGGCTGCAGCAGGCATCAGCTACTTCCTTTAGAAATGCTTCCCTGCAAACATGTCCCTCCGCTCCTGTGCCTTGCTCCAGAGTGCACCTGTGGTCCTGTCGACCTCCTGTTTGTGTTGGACAGCTCGGAGAGCATCGGCCTGCAGAACTTCCAGATTGCCAAGGACTTCATCATCAAAGTCATTGACCGCCTGAGCAAGGATGAGCGGGTCAAGGTGAGATTTCCACTGAGTGCTGTGAAATCTTTGTGTGCACTCGCTTATTTTTCACTGCAAGCAGGAAAATGGGGAGATGACCCTGCTCCAAAAGGCCTCCACCAGGCTTGGCTTCAAGCTGGTGGTGGGTCATCCCAAATTCATAAAGTGATGGAGATTAGACAGCAGATCATTGTCCCAAAATAGACATTTCACTTTTTTTAAGCAGAGATTCTGTTTCCTCCATGTCCCAGAGCAGATGGTGCATCGTGCATTCAATCAGCTTTATCAGTGTCTCAGTGTCTCCTTGTTTTGATGAACATTTTGGTTGTCTGGAGTGTGTTGGAAGTTTCTGATGTCCAGCTTCCACGCTTGGATTTAGGTCACTAGTTAAGCACTCTACTAAAAATTACTCTTTCAGCCCAAACCCAGCACTACTGTCCCCATAGTGAGTCTTTTAGTCTGAAAAGGAACACAAATGCTTGTTCTCCTTCCTAGCTCCTCTCTGGTAACTTGCTGTATGTTTTATTTATCTATTATTTATTTTATTTATATATTTATTTATCTGTGATTTGAAGGGCTGTTGGGAATCCAGACTTTCCTGAAGGTATAACCAGACACACTTAAAGTGCATAATCTGCTGTTGAAAACTAGTGTAGTGGGCATACATGGGGCTTTTTGGATGGCAGAGAGCCAGTAATAAGCAGAAAAGGTAGAGCTGGGTAGCAAAACCACCATGTTAGAAGAACACCAGGAGTCTTGAAAACATATCTTCTCATGGAACCATAGAATCCCCTGAGCTGGAAGGGATCCAAGGATTGAGTGCAGCTCCTGACTCTGCACACAGGACAATCCCAAGAATTCTACCATGTGCCTGAGAGCCCAGTGGCTGCTGTTGAGACTAGTGAGCTGTGAGATCTAGGTTTGGGTCTCCTTTTCACTTACTGTCTCACCAAATTGGTCCCAATGTGCATCCACTCCTGGTGGGGCTCTGCCTGCCCAGAATAAGGCAGGAGAGAAACATCAGAACCTGCCATGAAGGCATTCAGGAGAAACCATCAACAGGATTCTGAATCTCTGGTTCCCCTGAAGTATCTGCCCCTAACTGGTTTCTGTTCTGTCCCACAGTTTGACGCTGGGGAGTCCCGTGTGGGCGTTGTGCAGTACAGCCATGACAACACGCAGGAGCTGGTGGCCATGGGGGATGCCAACATTGACAACATTGGAGCGCTCAAGCAGTGAGTCTGTGGGGTATGGCCCAGGGGAGCCTACACACCCCCAGCCTCCATATCCAGGACAGCAGCTCCTGCAGCTGCAGTGATCTAGATGTCCTTTAGTAGAAGGTGGTGGCTGGTGGCATCGTAAGTGGTGCTAAGGCTAAATGAAGGAGCTTGCCAGTTTCCCACCCAAATCCCCATGCAGGGATGTCCGCTTGGTCACAAGCCTTGTTCTTGCTCCTCCAGTACCCACGGGCAGGGCTGGCAGGCTCACTGGTGTCTGTCCCTTCAGGGCAGTCAAGAACCTGCAGTGGATCGCTGGGGGCACCTACACTGGGGAGGCCCTGCAGTTCACCAAGGACAACCTGCTGCGGAGGTTCACGTCCGACAAGCGCGTGGCCATCGTCATCACAGACGGGCGCTCCGACACCCTGCGGGACCCCACCCCGCTCAACTCCCTGTGCGACGTCACCCCGGTAAGGGCACGGGGGACCTGCCCTGCGGCAGCTGTGCGGCACAGTGCAGGCTCCCTGGGTGTCTCCATGTCCTTGCTACACAAGGCTAGGGCAGGAGACACAGGTGTCACTAGAAGCACTTTCGCAAATTGGCAGACATAACACAGCTATGGATGCATTGGATGATGAATGCATCCAGTGATGGACTCGAACTTCCCCGCAGGTGGTTTCCCTTGGGATCGGTGACATTTTCCGAAACCCTCCAAATCCAGATCACCTGAATGACATTGCTTGTTTAAGCAGACCAACCAGGCCGGGACTGTCCATTCAAAGGGACAACTATGCCGAGCTCCTGGACGACACCTTCCTGCAGAACATCACCTCGTACATCTGCCAAGGTGGATGAAAGGCGGTGGCTAGAGGCAATGGGAAAGTTGGCGAGGGATGCAGGATGCCTCCCTTGTGTCCCCCAAGTCGTGCTCTTAAGCAGGGACAGGGGTATCTCATGTCTCAGAATACTTCGTGGCCAGGTCCCCATCCTCACCTGCTGCTGGACCTGTCTGTCCACACCATTTTTTCATGCATGTTTATAGCCTTTGCACAGGTGGCAAAGGTGGGTAGTTTCACCTTCTGCAGGTGAATGTCCGTCACTTCTGTGGCTCTATGGGACAAGTGGTTTTCCTGGGCCAGCTGGTGACATTAATATTTCTTATATTCTTAACAGAGAAAAAATGTCCTGACTACACCTGTCCAAGTAAGTATTGACTCCTTGTGCCATGCTGTGAGAGACTGTGGGTGGTGTGATGGGAGAAGTGGGAGCTTTTGTTTGTGGGGATGCATGGCTTGGGCACCTCTTGCAATGGGGATGCTCCTGGTCTGGAGAGGTGAGCAAGATCTGTCAGACACTCTCAAGGGTCTCTCTCACACACACACCAGCCCAAAGCAGCTGGGGAAAAGCATAGCTGGTTGTTTCTCTGGCATCTGAAACCTAGAGAGGAGGCTGTGAAAGATCACGACCCTGCCAGGTTTTAGCAACTGACCTCATTACCTGCTTCCACTATCTAGTGGTGGAAGCATGAGTAAAATCAGTTCAGTGGCAGGGATATTAGAGAAAGGTGCTTGAAAAGTAAGAACAGGGAGGGTTTTAATGGAGTACACCTCCAATTCAGAAGCATAATCAGTCCTCAGCATTTCCATGGGAAGAAGGGAAGTGAGGAGGATGAAGTGGTTCCCCAGATACACAAGGAGAGTCACTGTGTTTAAACAAGCCACTAGATTATCTCAGCCAAATAAACATCTACAACCTATCCTAAACCAAATAAAATAAGGAATGAACGGGTGAAAGGACAAGTATAGGACAGCATTGGGGCAGGGGAAAGAAAGCTAGCATGAGTGGAAATTTCCTGAGTCTGACAAGGCAGGAAGCTTGTGAGACAGTAACTTCATCGGTTTTCCATGGAAGTGCCAAAGTGTAACAACCCGTGGACCTTTCCCCTTGCAGTCACCTTCACCGGGCCAGCGGACATCACACTGCTGGTGGACAGCTCCACCAGTGTGGGGAGCAAGAACTTTGAGACCACCAAGAAGTTCGTGAAGCAGCTGTCAGGGCGGTTCCTAGAGGCCAGCAAGCCCACCGACGAATCTGTGCGCATCTCAGTGGTGCAGTACAGCGGCCGGAACCAGCAGAAAGTGGAAGCTCAGTTCCAGTACAACTACACAGTCATTGCCAAGGCCATTGACAACATGGAGTTCATGAATGATGCCACGGACGTGAACTCTGCTCTGCAGTTCATCACAGAGCTGTACCGGCGCTCTGCCCGCGCCACAGCCAAGAAGAGGGTGCTGGTGTTTTCTGATGGACACTCCCAAGGGATCACTGCCAGGGCCATTGAGAGGGCTGTGCAGGACGCACAGAAGGCAGGCATTGAGATCTACGTGCTGGCAGTGGGAAGCCAAGCCAATGAGCCCAACATCCGTGTCCTGGTCACAGGGAAGAGCGCAGATTATGATGTGGCTTACGGGGAGCGGCACCTTATCCGTGTGCCTGACTACACCTCTCTGCTGCGTGGTGTCTTCTACCAAACTGTGTCCAGGAAGATAGCTGTTGACTGAGTATCTGGGTGGGTTTCTGCCAAGGCCATAGCTGCTTCTGTCTCACCTAAAAAGGAAAATGAACAAAGCAAAAAAAAAAAATGTTAACAGTATTCTTGACCAACCTGAGGAATTTACATCTATGCAGATAACCATAGTGACACAGCCTGGCTGTATATAGTCCCCTCCCTTCTCTCTCTGCTTGATCATCTGTGTCTCTACTCTGTTAGTCTCAAATTCCCTCACTGTCCATGACTGCCCTCCCTCCCCATAACAGGAAAACACAAGCACACCTAGCAATAGGCCATCAGAACACAAATGCCAACCTCATCTCACTGTGTTTTTGACAAAAATCAAGATGAGGGCTTTTGTACCACTAAGATCTAGCCTGGTCTCTTAAGGTTGATTATGCTCTTTTTAGGTACCTTTTTTTTCATTTTTCATTTCCTTCTCTCTTTTGCACATCAGTTGCGCACTTGCCCAGCTCATCATGATCCTATCCTATTGCTGTGCTTCAAGTGAAATATTCACACTTCAGCAAGCTTTGAGAGGGGATCGTTGTCACATCTGGCGAGTTTGGTTTGTATCTCCCATGACTGGGGAGAAGAGAGGGCTGGACTGCACTACCCAAGCTGTGTGCAAGCATCTCTGGCCTCCAGAGCCAGGGGATGGGACAATCACTTCCCAAGGCTGGGGTAGAGGTGGGTGGTTGAGCATCCCTCAAACTGATGCTCCCATTCAGGACAGAGAGGCTGGACACCAACCGAAGAAAAAATGGGCAGCAGCCTTTGGGGAGGGGCAGAAACCCTTAAAAGAAGCTACATAACTGCGCTCCTTCACTTACTGATCTCACGGTCCTACAGTGAAACCAGGAACCTCATGAATAACCTGATAACTTGTTTTATGGTTCAAGCTCCATTCTGGAAAATCTCTCTGAGCCCAGTTGGTGGGATTTTTTTTTTTAATTTTTAATTTTTTTTTAATTTTAAAAGAGCCAAGCTGACCTATTCCCAGCGATGTCTCTTGGAGTACTGTTTCTACAGGACCACCTAGGAGTTAGGCACCTGGGCCCTAGGGAAACCCACTAACTGCACTATATATTTAATTAAGGCCTCATCCTCAGCCTAGAGAAGTCAAGTGAAAGGCTACCATCATCTCCCAGGGTCTTTGACTCACACTCTAAGATATATTGACAAAGGTGCTATCACTTATGTGGGTGATGTGGGCTGTGGTGCTTACTTACACAGTTGTTTCTGGGACCACAGTGAAAATGGGGTTTGGCTGGGTGAGATTTTATTTCAGAGCTTCTACTGGTGCTCTTGCTATGAATTCATGCACTTCGGAGAAACCAACAGCGACTGCCAGGTATCGGCACCCCAAACTCTTTACCTTGTATCCAGTTAGTTTTATTTTATGCCTGTGTTTTACTAAAATTGTCCACTTTGGAAATTTGTCAAATAAATTGTTTTTGACAGTCTCTTTGGGTGTTTGTCTGACTTGATTTTCTCCCTCCCAGATCTTGATTTTACATCCTAAGAGATCTCTAAAAGGTCCTTGGGGGCCCCACACCTCTGTGTCCCGGGGCTTGTTACAGCTTTTCACTGTGGATTCCTGTAAAGAGACTTGTTCCCCAGGCAGTGGGGACATTCAACAGGACATTGTCTCATGTCCTCCTCTTAGCCATGCTGCCTCCATCTCTGTGCAGATGCTTGTTGGGCTCCCTGGAGCATGGGGACACCTCACTCACAGCTGGAAAGTCTGAGGGGTGGCTCTGCGGGTGGCAGCTGTTTGTGTCAGATCTCCTGCTCTCCTCTCCACAGAAAGGCAGGAAAATATGCCTTCATATTTGCTCTAAGAAAGGCAGGTTTTGTTACAGCTCAAGAAGTTCCTATTAATGGCTTGCCACAGTCCTTGGCATGAGTCAGGCATGGAGGAACATGACAGGGACAAGCCCTTAGGCTACGCAGTTGTGGCTAGGGATGCCCAGCATGTGGCATGGGCCGCTGCCAGCAAAAAGGGGTGGGAAAATGGGATTTCTGCCCACCCCCCGATGTGTGTTCCTGCTCACATCCCACCTGGGCCATATCCAATTGAGGGATGCAAAAGGCACCTGGGGAAAGATCTCCCTGTCTTTGGGCTGGCTTACTGCTTTTTGCTAAAAAAGGTAGCTGGCAGGAGGTATCTTTCCTGTTTCTGTTCATTTCCCCCCTCCACTCCTAACCATGCCCTAGCATCTTCCTTCTGCAGAAAGGAAAATAAGATCCCAAACCAGTGAAAATTGTCAGATTCTGAGCCTCAGTTCTGGAGTGTTTGTCAGTTTTCCTCATCATTTCACGATGTCATTCAGAGAAAAATCTAAAATGTTCCCTTTAAATTCCAAATTGCCCAGAAGAATCACAATTTTAAACAGAACTGGGTGGAAACCTGGCTTTCCCAGGACAGGACACAGGGACCAGCAGGAATTTTTCACAAGTTCCCAGCACATTGTGTTTAGCAGTGTTGCCTTGTCTCTCCTCACTGTTGTGCATTGCTCAGGTAGGACTGTAGAAGCCCTGTCAGGTGTCTGGACATGGGATATTTGTCTTAATTTGTCTTCCATTTCTGGTGATATTCACTCGCCTCTTTTCAGTCTCAATTTTTGTGCTTCCATTACAGGGAAGGTCAAAATGCCTCTGTATGCAGGCCTGCTTTATTAAACTTCAGATGTTCTCCAGATGTTCAGCAAGGGGGTTTATGTAACAACAACAGAATTTGGGCCGCATTTCTCTTTTCCTCTGGCTAAATGCTCCTCATTTGAGGCAATGCTGATTCATAGCCCTTCATGGGAATGTGATGGCTGGGGAAGGACTGGATTGCTGAGACCACTTTACCAGTGTGGTAGACTCCTAAAACACATACCCAGCTGCTCTGGGATGATTTTGAAGCATATATTTAAGAGCCTGTCCAGTGCCTACAACTTTCCCAAGGAGCAGAGATCTGTTGCTTTGCCTCTCCTAGCTGTGACAGCCAAATAACTGAGTGTTCAAATGCTTCCTGCTCCTCTGTGGTTTGGGGCTTGCTTTAACTCATATTCCCAAGCATGCTTTAATTTAAGGCATACATTATTTAGTCCAATTGCATGACTTCTCCCCTTAAAATAAGTAACATTTTATAATAAAGAATCATGGACAAACAGTAAAGACTGTAACCTATTAAGAAATACAGAAATATGGGGTTAACACACAGAATTCATTCTCAGCAAACTTAAGACAGTACAGGAAGACCATTCCCTCCCTGCCCCCAGCACAAACCATCATCATCATCATCCTGCCTCTCTATGTAAAGGATTTAGGAAGCTGATGGCCTCCCATAATGTTGCATGGAATGAAAGAATATCACCAAAGCATGGTGCAGCTTTGGGAGTCTTGCATGTAAGAATTTTAATTTTTGTTAATTCCCATCCATAATTAGGTCACTTAGATTTTAGAGACCTATGTAATAATGGGACGAAATAAGTTGTTATGGTCTGGCTAGGCTGAGAAGACTTTAATTTAACAAAGAATTAATTTTTTATAACTACACTTAACAGTGTCTTCCCTGATTGTCCATAGGTAAGCCCACAGGCAAACATAGATTCTCTACCTGGGTCTTGCCCCTCAAAATTTCTCCCCATTTTTTGTAGGGAGTTCAGGCTTGATCCACAGTGTCTGTTTTCTATGCTTTTCCACAGAAAATGTATATTGCATTAGCAGAGATTCTGGAGGATGTATGGCAGGAGGGGGACTGCAGCCAGGTGGGCCTCACCAGAAAGGTGAGATGTAGTTCTGAACACAGTAAGGGGCACTGTTTAATTTCTATTTCCTTATTTTTCTTGGGTTTTTTTGTTTCTTACAGATGTGGACACCCCTATCACACATGGAAACTACAGGTGCTCCCAGGAGCATGCTGTGGCAGTGACACAGCCCTTCCACTGAGGGTTGGGAATGCATGGAATGACTTATACCCCTGAAGTATTGCTCAGCCCTTCCATCTGGCTCATGGCCTCAGCAGAGCAGTGCTCCTGGTCCCATCCATCTCTGCAGACACCAGCAGGAAACACTTCTCAGCTTTGTCATCCCTGTGACATTTAACATCCAAGCTGCTGAACCAGACAAGAGTGCAGCTGGGATGTCTCTTCTTGATAGTAATATATTAAAAAGGGAAAATTGAAAGAAATCACAGAAGCTGGAGGTGAAGCAGACCCTTCCTTTACCACATATATCTGGAGATTCTTTTTCCCCTTTTTTCTTCACTTTTGGTCATGGCACATTATAGAATCATAGGCCAGTTTGGATTGGAAGGGACTCCAGAAATTATTTTGTTCCAAATGCCTGCTGTGGGCAAGGACACCTCCTACTACACCAGGTTGCTCCAAGCCTCATCCAACACTTCCAGGGATGGGGTGTAAATAACTCTTCTTCTTTGCTCTGGATGCCTCTAAAGGTCTTGGGAGATAAACTGTTTCTGGAGATGAATTTCCTAGAGGGGAAAAACCATGCAAGACACTTTGAGGACCATCTATTGTGACAACATCAGCTGACTTGGCTGCACAAAGCTGTAGCTGTCTTAGTACAGCCACAAACTTCATCCTCTGTCTAAGAACTTATTTTTTTTCCATAATCTAATGGCCACATAAAAGATGCTGCCTCATTGAACTCAGGTTTCTTTAGTCACCAAGAATAAGGAATGAGGAGGTCATTAAGCACATTTTCTACCTTTATGGTATGTTTTACCCCACACAGAGGTCATGTTCCTCCTTCTCTTGTGAAGTTATTTATCATCTGAGGTCCCTTATTTGTGTTTTTTTTTTCTTTCATGACCTGACACTCAGTTCTTGTTTTAGGTGTCAGAAGCCTGCAAGAACACAACAAGGTCAGGCTATGGCAGAAAGTCCAAAGGCTTGTTCCTTGATATTGAGACCTCTACCCATCATAAAGGTGGTGTTGGGACATGGCAAAGCCATTCCAGGGAACAGATTAAAAACCCAAGCTAGACTTCTGGCAAGAAAAACCTCAAGACAATCTGTTTTGTATAGCTGCCCTTGGGACTGGGAAGGGATTAAGTCACAAATTGTCTGTGCCCAGGCAGCTTTGAAACAACCTTTGAG